AGTTTCCGGATTGTATCTTACTTGGTTTTCGAGATCGTTATAAGGACCTGTATATTTATGCCCTGGTAAGGTCCATCCACCTTTTGGTTTTGGTAATTTACCAATCTGCTTGTGAATATCTATTCCTCTTCCATCCAATTCTGGTCTATCAGTTTTATATTTATTTTTTGGTCTCACTTTTGTTGATAACTGGTCCATGGCTGATCCAACAGAATCTTGAATAAATGGAGTAAGTTTACTAATCCCATAATTTACAGCTTTCTTTTGAAGATTTTTATTTCTCATTAACTCGCTTGCTCCATATCGTCCCATTTCAGCTGCTTTTTTACCCATCCAAGGTAAACCGTAATGAACAAATCCATCAACTGCTGTACCAACAACAGTATCAAAAACGCCCGCCCCTTCAGACGGGCTGTTTAGTTTTTTTTTACATATCTGACTTTTTTATTTCCACAAACTGCACATCTACAGTAGAATTGAGTTCTACCTTTTTTATCTTTTTGGTAACCACTTGGCTCTGTGCAAGGAGTTACTCTTTTATCTACAATGCAATATGATTCTGTCATTTAGTATAATGTTTAGATAAATATGAATACTAGATCTAATTTTCTAAAAAGTGAACTTGAAAAGATATACAATAACCTAAACATGAGTTATGAATATTCTGATTTTGCTAGATTGGAAAATGACAATCGATTTATAAAAGTATTTGAGTTGCTGATGGAAATAAGTGAAAAATAAAGTAAACTTAATAAAGTTGTAAAAGGAAATTATCTATTTATATAATAAATGGAAGCCAAATTCTTTTCTGAGATAGAAAAAAAGATGGATGTTAAAACACTAAAAGATTTTGAGAAAGATGTACGAACACAAATAAATAATGAATTTGAGGCTCTTAGAAAGAAAAATGATGATCTTTCTAGAATACTAATGGCTGATGAATGTGAGATGTGGGGAAAAATCAGAGATGAGGACTATTCTTGGTTGAAAATAAATAGTGATAAAAAGAAGAAACTTTTTAGACTTATTAATATTTACTCTAATTTTAATGAAATAGTTGATAGTGTTAAAGAATTAAATACAAAAGTTGAGAGTGTTAAACAGCTAAAGAATTTACCAGATGAGTAAAAAATAATATTTATTAAATATTATTTTTATCCTCCAAAATACTCTTTTATAAAATCACTGTTGTCGTTGTCAAAATGTGGGTTATGTATTATGTCTAGAATACTATTACCTCTTTGTCTTTCAAACAGATAGTATAAACACCAATAACCACAGAGAACAGTATTGCGATTTTGTATTTCATCCATTGAGTAAACTATACGTTTTCCAGAAGTATGAAAATACTTTAATACTTCATTTGGCATTATTAAACCAAATGGATCAAAGTACTCAACCACTGAATCTATATTTCTTTAACAAACCCAGTGTGTTCCAGGGCCAGTTATATCATCTAGATTAATTATTCCACATTCTTTTCTTATCCTATTTGGTAGTCTATCGCGACTATATATTCCTCTAAAATGTTTAATACCAAGTTTCTTTACCCAATCCATGAGGTTAAAGTTGGATAATGGTTTAATTACAAAATGGCTCCTATTAATGGAATTGAGTTGAATGGACTGTTTTTTCCTAGAAGAAGACCTTTTCCTTTGGACTTGGACTTTTTTTTTACTCCCATTCCAATTGGGTTTTTCCATGTACCGATAAAGGGTGGTGGGTAATAAGGATAACCTTCACCATGTGTGGGTGGGGGAGGAGGAACGTAAACATTTGCTGTATTAGACGATCCTCGTCTATCAACCTGCAGTCCAGATCCAAACATCTTAGATACTAAACTAATTGCCATTGGAATTCCAATAGATGCAAGAGTTCCACGAAATCCTCCTTCTATCTGCCTACGAGTTGGTTTTATAACTAATCGACCACCTGTTTGATAAGCTTTGTTAATTTGATTTATTTGCGATTTGGTAAATTCTCTTACAAGAGGTGGTAATAATGGGAAAAACTGTGGGGGAATTGTGATTCCTTTTCCAAATATTTTATTTATTCCAAGTTCTCCAAGTGCAGTAGCAGCACCAGTTGCTAATGCAGGGACAGCTTTTGAAATTTCTTTTACTGCATATGGTAGTACTTTTGCTCCAAGAGATGCGAGTGAAGTAAATAAGTTTCCACCATGTTTTACAGAACGTCTAATCTGTGTTTTACTTATTTTTATATCTGATCCTGTACCATTTGCAATAGATTTTTTTATTTTAGAAATTTGTCTTTTTGTTAACATTAACTCATCAGAACCTCGAAGATGTGAATGTTTTAACCGAAGAGTTAGTGGTGATTTATTTCTTATTGCACTTATCAGTTTTGACTTTTGCCCATCTGTAAGTGTTACACCGTATTCAAAATAAGTAGTCATTTTTTATTATAATATTCATATTAAATTGATTTCAGGAAATTTAATTAAATCTCTTATTTTTTTCTTCTTAGGTTCATTATATTTTTTTAGTGTATTTTTAATAATTGTATCAAAATTAGTTTTACCTTGTTTAGTTTTCAAAGACTTTAATTTTTTGGCTTTCTTAGCATTTTCTGTTTTTAAAGTCTCAAGTCGGTCTTGTAGCTTTAATTTCTTTAATTTTTTTCGCTTTCTTAGCATTTTCTGTTTTTAAAATCTCAAGTCGATCTTTAGCTCGTTGTGTTATCAAAGAATGATTTAATCTAGTAACATAAGGTAAAGTTTTTTTAAACTGAGTTTTACTGAATTTTAAATCAACTTTTTTATTAAGTTTTTTTGCAACTTCTACTTTTTTAATTTGGGAATTTGTAAGAAAAACTTTAAAAGGTTCTTTATTAGATGTGAAGTCTAAAGTTATAATATTGTTTTCTCCAAATTCTTTTATTTGTGATGGAGTTAAGTTTATAACATATTCAAAGTATTTATTTTCTTTTAAAAAAGGATATTTTTCTAAAGTTACTGGTGGATATATATCAAAAGGATTTACCATTTTTATTTTACTTTTAGATTAATTAAGCACGGAGCAATAGTTTTCCATCTTGTTGTGATNTAATTTTTTGGCTTTCTTAGCATTTTCTGTTTTTAAAGTCTCAAGTCGGTCTTGTAGCTTTAATTTCTTTAATTTTTTTCGCTTTCTTAGCATTTTCTGTTTTTAAAATCTCAAGTCGATCTTTAGCTCGTTGTGTTATCAAAGAATGATTTAATCTAGTAACATAAGGTAAAGTTTTTTTAAACTGAGTTTTACTGAATTTTAAATCAACTTTTTTATTAAGTTTTTTTGCAACTTCTACTTTTTTAATTTGGGAATTTGTAAGAAAAACTTTAAAAGGTTCTTTATTAGATGTGAAGTCTAAAGTTATAATATTGTTTTCTCCAAATTCTTTTATTTGTGATGGAGTTAAGTTTATAACATATTCAAAGTATTTATTTTCTTTTAAAAAAGGATATTTTTCTAAAGTTACTGGTGGATATATATCAAAAGGATTTACCATTTTTATTTTACTTTTAGATTAATTAAGCACGAAGCAATAGTTTTCCTCCTTGCTGTTCGATTTCTGCCACTAGTTCGTGAAGTATTAAAGCGTAGATATTATAATCAGCGTTTGGATTAGCAGATAACTCGTAATGAAACGATAATTTTGTAACTCCATCTTTTATATCCATTTTTTGTTTTGTCAAGTCAAAGTAAACAAACGGGAACAAAGACTCAAAATTTGTTCTATTAAGTAGTGGTCCACCTTGAAAGTCATTATTTGCGTAAACATAACCCATTACTTCTCTGAAAACTCTTGCTGGATCTGTAGCTGGTTTAAAGTGAATGTCAGGGTACTCATTTCCATTTCCAACCTCGAGATGACAGCGAGATATATTAGCATTGTTTGTCAGATTAAAAGTATTGTATAAAAATGGATTTTCTGTTTGTGAATCAATATTGGTTGTGTTAATTCCAAAAACAAATACATGACGTGGTTTTGAGATTGCATTTGTAATTCTAAATTGGCCTGTTTGATGTTGAGAGTTATTTGATCGCTCTACTACTTCATTAACATACATCCACTTGTAGGGCTTAAGATAATTTTTCAGGTATATTTCTTGTCCTTTTTTGTTAAATGTTACTCTTGGAACAAATAGTTGAAATCTTGTTAGTATAACTCTACAATTGTTTCCTCCAGTTCGCCAGATAAGATTGTTATCTGATTCTAGTTCTATATTCAGCTCAGTTTTTGTATTTGGAAGAAGTTTGTCCTCTAATGATTCAAAAAACGAATATCTGTTAATAGGAATTTCACATCGTACAGTTGCTGAGTCGCCTAATAGTGCTTTTCTTATTGCAAAACCTTTGTTGTAAGTATTATTATCTCCATCTACAAAATTTCTTGCTTCTCAACCATTATCAGCATCATTTCTACCGTGTTGAACTTGTCTTTCTGCGTACTTCTCTCTATCTGCATTTCTTGCTGTATCAAGATAGTAAAATTCATTTGTGGCAACACTCTCAACATAAGATGGATTATACTCAAGCAAATTCTTAATATTTACTACATGATTAGCATAGTTGCAACTGTAAACATCTCTACCATTTGCTAGGATGGTTAACTTTTCTATGAGAGAATTACTTCCATTTACTATTCCCATTTGATCTCCATCTGCATCTATATCAGCTCCAGCAGCCAGCTGATTAACTTTGAAATCTACTGAAAATCGCGCGTTATACCAATCAAAAGGAGTAGCTTCTCCTGTGTTATCAGCAACAAATCTATGACCTGTTTTAGTTTGATGAGCATTATTTCCAGGCCTGGCTAAAGCCTGTTCAAGGTCAAAAACAACATCTTCATATCTTTCTAAATATTCTGGATTTCTAAAGGACTTCATTTTATTTTAATAATTATATAATTTTACCCCCACTAAGAATGGCGTTCACTCTTCGATTTATATCTTGTTGAGACATTTTTTTGTTTGGAATAGTTTAAACATTTTTATTAAAAGTAACTTTTTTGGTGGTGGGTGCAGCCTTCTCTTTTGATAACATTTGCACTATCTTATCACCAGCCTTTTTACCAACATGTTCACCACTTTTTGTTGCAGCTGCTGTCACCGCTTTTTTAGCTCCTTTTTTAGCTGCTGATTTAAGTGTCTTTCCAAATAATTTTTTACCAAACGATTTAAACACATCCGTTATTCCTTCTCCATAAATATGTTGTCTTGTAAATCTACCCAATTCAGGGTCAAGTTTCATTTTAAACTCTGATTGTCTCATCATTTTATTTTAATAGTTATATTACATCGAGTGGAGTATCAATGTCATAAACCAATCTATACCGTTAAAATTTACTGGTCTGCCAAGGGAGTCTGTCACATAGATTCTCATTTCATCAATGTGAAATGATGATACAGGACAATACAATGGTCTTTTAGGTTCAAACGTAAATGGAAAAGACCTTGTGAGATTGTCTGTTGGTATCACAGCAATGGTATTTGTATTGGTATTTATTCCATTTACAATGCTATCAGTTATTGCGCTTGTGTTGATATTCAACACATCAATCGAATTTGTGATATTTGGTAGTTTTGTTCCATACTCTGTTTTTGTAATAAGTTTCTTTTCAAATCCAATTAGGTCTCCAAATTCTGTTCCTCTCAGATCAAGTTGATAGTTATTACTAATTGAAATTAAAACTCGATAGGTAGATAGTATAAAAGTTAGATTGATTGAATACTCCTTTTTTCCACTTGAATCTGTTGAGTGATGATTTTTTTGAGTCATATATTGATGAATGTAATCATTGATATCTGAGTAAGAATACATTCCATCTGTAAAAGTAATTGTTTGCCAGGTGGAACCATCGTGAGTGTATTTGATTTTATCGTTTTTATAATCACTTCTAATGTTGTACCAAGAGTAAGTCATAGACAGTCGATCAAGAGCAAGTTGGTGTTTCATTTCAGCGCCAATAAGGAACAAACTGTGTCTTAACGAGGGTTTACTGAAGACCGAACGAGAACCGCATGGAATTACAAAGATGATCCACGGGCGCATGCGCGCGCTAGATACCGCTGAAAGTAACGCAATAACAACGTAGTGGCGCAGGGTCAAGTTTTAGAGATGGATTAAACTTAATAGTAAAATCACCAGGTCTGTTTGTTTCTCTTTTTTTCCCTGTTTATTGAGGAAATGTGGATAGCTCGTTCTTCCATTTTTATATAATTGGTATATAACTTTTTAGTAGATCATTAAGTTGTTTTCTTGAGATCACTTTCATTTGGTTGAGAAGATGTGCTATTTGAGAAAACTCAGGTATTACACCATTATTCCCAGCAAGAATTGAACCACCGAGTAATTCAAGTCTGTCTGGAAGTTGATGTGGGTTGTTAAAGTAAATCATTCCTTCTCCTATTTGATACTCAAGCGAACCTAAATAAATTTTAAGAATGTTTTTGTATTTATGTAGTAAATCTTTCTGCATTTTAATCCTTTCTATTTCTTCTTCTTCTTCTTCTGTTTTATGTTTTTTTCTCTTCAAACCAGCTATTTGTCCTGTAAAAACTTTTACATCATTTTTTACTTCATCATGTATTTCTCTAAGTCTTTCAGGGTTAGTATCAAAAAAATCATTTGGTCTTGGATAATCCATAATTCTTAATACTTCTAAATCAACATCGTCAAGATTTTTTTCAATGTTATAACGTGTAGGTGATTTTGGTTTAGATGTTGTAGGTTCTTCATAATCACCTTCCAAAGCTGGTAATTCTCTCATGTCAGCCAATCTTAAATTAGTTTCATTAATTTTTTCCAATCCTGATGTTAATGCAAGTTGATTTTTTTTAAGTTGTGCTATAGTTGCGTTTTGCTGCTCATCAATACTTTTTTTAATGCTATCCTGCGATTTAATAAGTGGCTTAAATGTTTCTTTAAAACCCTCTCTCATATTTTGTTTCTCCCATTTTGTTATTTTTATTACATCTCTCACCTGTTGAGTCAAAGAATCAGCTTCAATTTTATCTCTTGCAAATTTTTTGGTTTCTTCAACATCCATTTATCTTTTCATTAGATAAATGGAAATACCAAACTATGATACCAATAACATTTCGGATGTTAATCTGTGGAAACAGTGGAAGTGGTAAGACTAATCTGTTGTACCATATGTTAATTAAACCACTGTTGTACTATGATGAGATTTATCTTTACGCGCGTAATCTAGAACAGGATAAGTATCAAAAGCTAATTCAGAAAATGAGGGAGTTGAGTAGTAAACTGGGATATGAAATACTTCATGTGAGTAATGACGAAATAACTCCTGGGACAGAAATGGATTACGAAGACAATCAAAAACTTGTGATATTCGACGACTACGTTTGTGATAAAAATCAGAGACAACTAACAGATTATTTCATTCAAGGACGACATAAGAATTGCTCTGTGGTGTACCTCAGTCAATCGTTTTATAAAACGCCAAAGGACATTCGGCTGAATTGTTCTCATTACTGCCTGTATGAATTTCCATCATCGAGGGAAGCCAACAGAATATCATCTGAGTTGGGAGTTAATAAAGAAGATTACCGCGCAGCAACTAAAAAACCGTATTCATTTTTATACGTTGATAAACCAAAAAAACGTATTGCAAAAAACTTTACTGGTAATCTAACCCATTAATTAAAATGGGAATATTTAACGAACAATCTCTTGATCATCCCTTTGCTAGGGGAATTCAAGGCGCCCCAGGAGTTGGATTTAATCTCACTTCAAGTGGGGATTATGATATGATAAATAAAAAACTAAGAAATGTTGGTGCACCTAGTGCTAATACTGATGCTGTTACAAAGAAATATGTTGATGATAATTCCAGTGGATCAGTTGATGGTAGTGTCTTTTTAAAACTAGATGGAACAAGAAAAATGACTGGAAATCTAGATATGGACAACAATCAAATATTAAATCTGCCAGCTCCAGGGGGTCCCAAACAACCAACACCATTAGCTTTCACAGATTTGAAGTATCTCCACGTTGGTGGAACAAATAAAATGACTAATAATCTAAACATGGACAATAAAGGTATAATTCATTTAAAACCACCAACAAATGACACAGACGGCGCAACCAAAAAGTATGTGGATGACTCAATACCTGATACTAGTTCTTTTATAAAAAAGGATGGAAGTGTATCAATGACTGGAAACCTAAATCTTGGAAACAAAAAAAGAGTTGGTCTTGCTACTCCAACATCAAATACAGATGCTGCAACCAAAAAGTATGTGGATGATAATGCTGGAAGTCCAGATTTGAGTGATTATTTGGAAAAAGATAGTTCCGTCGCTATGACTGGAAACCTTAATCTTGGAAGTAATAAAATAGTTGGTCTCGCAACTCCAACGTTAAATACAGATGCTGCAACCAAAAAGTATGTTGATGATAATGCTGGAAGTCCAGATTTAAGTGATTATTTGGAAAAAGATGGTTCCGTCGCTATGACTGGAGAACTTAATGCTGGTGGTAATAAAATAATAAATATTGGTAAACCACTCCAAAATAGTGATGCAGTAAACAAAGGTTACGTCGACAAACTAGTTCATAAAACTGCAGTCCAACCAAGCCATTATAAAAATGAGTTTAGTTATCTTATGTCAAGTGGATCTCAATGGACTGATGAAATAGATGGTGGAAATAGTTTTAGTATAGATAAGATAGATGACTTACCACCAAACAAAGGAAACTTTCACGACTATAATCACAAAGTTATTTACATGTCTATATATAAGCGATTTCTGTATGGATTTAAATTTAAGATGGGAATGAATTTTTTCCGACTACCTACAAATACTGATTACACATTGTGTCTGGAGTTAATCAACACAAATATGACCCTTTGGGATAAGACTCAAATAAGTGTTGACAAAGGAACTTCAACAGGATTATCAATTGGAAATGTAGGTATAAGAAAACTATCCCATAGGTATACTGATTCAACAGGGAAAAAAAAAGTTATGTACTATCATAGAATAATAGTTAATGTTCGAAAGTTGTTTACTAGTGGACCCTTTCTTCACATTCTTGTTAATATTCCACTGATTAGATTTTTACAGTCTACATTTTCACGTAAATTTTCAGGAGTTTACCTGATTGCCAATGGTATTATGGGTACATTTAGCATTATCGATCCAGATAAAGTTTACGATTATCACACCGCATTTGACATCAAACCAACAGAAGTAGTGTATAATGTTGATATTAATGCAAATCAAAAAGCAATTAAAAATATTAAACTTGAGCGACAAAGTGACAATAGTGCTGCAACAGTTGCATTAGTAAAAGAACTAGCTCCTTTTACTAAAAATGCTTGGTATAGATTATACTTTAGTGAGTTCTATGACTTTGCTGATGCGGATAGTTACCGAATAAATATAGGTTCATCTGGAGTTATTATTAATTCTTTAAAACCTAATATTACACTACCAGCTAATTAAGACCTAAGTGAAATAAGAAAAGATGGCTTAAATGTTAGTGGTTATGATGTAACTTTTTCTCCTTCGCATTCTTCGAAATCTACTTTATGTATAGTTTTTAGTTATTGGAGAAATAGGAGTTTTAGCCTAACTAAATATTTATCAACAAACAAAAATATTTTAGTAAAATTAAATTATGATAAATCAAACAATAAAGTAACTTTAACTGTTAATAAAACAACTCAAAATTTTACCATGCTAAGTAGTTTTAATGGAAAAATAATTGTTTTATGGCTAACAGAAAATTTTGATACAAATGTTACAAAAGTTAAAATAAGTAACTACAGCTCAACATTAACTATACCAGCCGTTCAATACAATGTTAATCAACGTTGGAAGTTTACAACTGAAGATGGAGTGTTAATTAGATTAATGTACTCTCCAAACTTTTACGACTTTGACTCTGAGCAATTTCACAAAGTAATGCTTCAAGAAAAGTTAAGTGGATCTTATATAGTATAGGGGAACCTACGGTTCCCCTATGACCCCCTCCCTTGGCTACGTCGCACTAATGTAAACAAAAGAATAAATGAAGGATATCTTTGAATTTAATCACATTGATAAATCTCTGTCAGAATCAGACGTCACAACTCTCAAAGACTTTTACAAACATTATCACAAGAAATACTGGTGTTACAAAAGGTGTTATAAGAGTTACAAATTTCTTGATGATGTGTTTACAATTTCTGGAATATGTCTGGTTGCAATAGGAACTATTACTGGTGGGATTACTCTAAACCCTGTTGTTCTAGGAGTTGTAAATGGCGCTGGAGTTGTCGTGGCGGGAATTGGAAAGAAAAAGAATTACAAAAGAAAAATTGAAATGTCAAGAATTGCATTTACTACTTATGAAAAAGTACTCGTTGAACTCCGTGCAGCTCTTCGGGGTGATGAGTGGAACAAAGAAGAGATTGTTGATCGTATGAAACTAATAGATGAAATGATAATTGATCAGTCTCCTATAGCAGATAGATTTGTTAGTAGGTATAATACAAAATTTAATCTAAGCAAGTAATAAAATAGACCATTTTAAAAAATTTGAAGAACAATTACTTGATAGTTACGAATCAACTTTAGCTGCAGAAGGAAAAGAAATCTGTGAAGAAATTGATTCGATGTACGGAGATAATGTTAATTTACTTGTAGCAAAGGCTGATTCTTATTGCCTTTTTAGCAGACTTTTAAAAGAAGATGAAATTGATGAAAAATTGTGTGAAAACTGTGAAAAGTATTTAGATGATTTAAGAAATTATAGACATATCAAAATTACTTTAGAAGATATTTCAAGATCAAGAAAAAGGGTTTAAAGATTAAAATACTAACTAATATAAATATTTGAATGTATATTTTTTTTTATCTTTTTTAGATTTTGCTGTTTTTTCAATATTAGATAAATATTGAAAACTAATCTAAGTATCTAAATGTATATATATTTTTATTTTTCTTTGAAGTAGCTGTTTTAGCTTTTTTCCTAAAAATATCAGAAATATAAGCAGAATTAATATCCAATTTAATCGCTGCTTTTTTAATAGAAATATATCTTGTTTCTTTTCCAGTTTCTATATTGATAGAAATTATTGGTCTATTATTACTTTTTTCAGAATTTTGTCTAGGAGTGAGTAGTTGTAAATTTTTGATTCTATTGTCCGTCTTATTATTATTTACGTGGTCAACTTCAAAACATTTTGGAATTGGTCCTCTGAAAACCTCATAAACAAAACGGTGTTGAAGATATGTAAAAGGTTTTTCAAGTTTTTTATTGTAAATTGTAAAAAGTAAATAACTATTAACTCTTTTTTTTATATTCATAATTCTTTTAGTCTTTACATTTATAACATCTCCATTTCTTGATGCGGCATAATTACTAAAAACAGGATGTTTATAGTATTTTACCCCATCAATTATAACTCTTTGTTTTATTCTTGAATCTATCATTTTATAGTATCCATATTTGCGAATTGAAGGAAGAATTTTAGCAAAAACCCATTCTCTAAATATTTTAGCACTTGGTAATCTAGATTTAAAAACAAGTTCATAAAAACCTGCTTCGTCAATAAAACAAGTCATAGAGCAACCCGGTGAATCGCCGGGTTGCCTCAAAATAAATTTCCTTTTATGATTTTCACTTACATGTTTTCTAACAGCATCGTTTGTATCTTGGTATCCAAGAATAGTTGCAACTTCTTTGGCTTTGAACCAAACTGTACATTTTCTATCAATGTAAGATTTAAACTTAATTCCAAGTTGGTTATTAATAAAAGTTTTTTCAATCATTTTTTTATTTATACTTTCTTATTCTTTAAGCCTTAATTAATTTTCTATTTAATTTAAATAGAAAATGATAATTATATTTTATTCCAATCGCGATACTTGTTTAAATTCTTGATACATATGATATTTTTTTAAAAAGTATTTTACATCAAAGTATAAATCTTCATAAATTTCCATATCTATATCTACTAATTCCACCCTGGTATCATTTTGTTGACGCCCTGTTTCAGGGCCTCTATACAATTGAAGTATTTTATGGTTATTAGATACATGTCTCTCAATAGCATTTCGTGGTTTACTATATCCAAGAATCTCAGCAACATCCTTTCCTCGAAACCAAATATTTTGCTTATTGTCAATAAAAGAATTCATTTCAATTCCTAATTCTTCATTTTTAAAACTTTTCTTCAACATGTTTGTCATTTATATTATACTTTTTATCTCTTTAAGCTTATTATATTTCCCTCTAGAAACCTAACCCGTCGTTTTGACGGGAAATCTCATTTCTATATATACATAATATAGAAATGATTAGTACAATTGTAGAATATGTTAATTTCTACTTTCGAACTTATAAAACACAATTTTATTGAGATAACTTTATTAAAGCTTGTCTTGTTTACCAGTTTCTCTATGCAAAGTATTTTACACAAAAACTAGACATAGACCAAATTATTTACAGACTAACAGAAGCAAGACACTACATAAATTCAGATTCAAATATTATTAAAAATCACTTAATATTTAGTCTCGCTTTCCGCGCTTTCTGGAAACAGTATAGGATTGGTAGAGGATGTGTATATGCAATCAACACACCTTTTAAAGAATGCGAAGTACTTGGTTATCTAACTGGAATTGTTTACTGGTTTTTCCACAGAGGAGTCGTTGAGTGATTTGTAACTATCCCACCACTTTTCATAATTCTCCATAGTTTGGTTGGAAATCTTAAGATAAACTAGTTTATACTTTTCACAACCCATTTCTTCCAAAAGTTTTTTAATCAAATAAAAAAATGCTTATCATTCTCTTTCTACAAAATTGTTTGTTTAGTATTTCCATGACGTGGTTATCTATATTCATTAGTTTATTGTAAAGTTCACACTTTTGTTCATCAGTTAGGTTTAGTCTTTTGGAAACTTGATCAACCTTTTTCTCGTAGTGATACTTTCTCTGATAAATACTCTTCTTTCGAAAATGAAATCGATCGTATTCTTTCAAGTCAAAATAACCAAGAACTTGACCATTAGTTGTTCCACAGGAATCGCAAATATTATAACCTGATTCAATAGAAAAACTATCACTTTGACAATTACTACATAAAACTTTTTTATTTTCTTTCTCTTCTGGTTGGGTATTATAACTTCTTAATATTTCTAAATATTTTTCTATTTCTTCTTTTGTGTAAGTCATTTATTATTATATATCTTATTATCTTAAAGCGATCGTTTTTATCTTATTAAACATCACCGTGCGTTTATCATCTTCATTACTCAGAGCTATTTTATTAACTTCCTTTGAATAAATATCATGATATTCACTTCTTATAATCTTCATCGATCTCATTTGCTTTTTACCCAAAAATAAACAATCAACATAATCATCAAAATCCATTGTCTTTTTTACAACATTTTTCTTTATTCCTTTACATTTACATACTTCTTTATCTTCTTCTATTCTAAAACTGTAAAGTTTGGGTCGCAATCCAACAAAACAAGTAATTTGTTTTCCTGCTACTTCATCTTTAAACATTCCTATTACTTTTTTGTTAACTCCTGTTGGAATACCAGATGGATGACCAGGAGGATAATCAGAGGTGTCAAACTTGGATTTTATATCATAGGATATATCTTTGTAAAAATCATCTGTGTGAACCTGGTACAACAACGAGTCGGTATCTGTAAACAATAACTCAGCCTTGTCTCTATATTTCTTTTGAATATAGTTGTAATGAAAATCAAACATTAATGTTTTTGACAGATCAAGTATTGCTTGTCCAACATATACTGGTTTGTTAAAATACAGTTCTGTTTTTTTCATATGAACCGCAATAAGATTTTTATCAAATATTGTTGCTCTATCAAAGTTAGGACGACTTGTTAATTTTGAAGCTTTTTTACGATCATCAATAATAAATATATTTTGTCTTTTTCTTATGTTTTCTATTGTTTTTCCAAATACAGAATTATTCATTAGTTTGAAAAAGTCTTTCTCAAAACTGTTGGTTGCTGTTTTTCGAAGTTCTGTATTCTTTCTTATGTATGGCTCCATCCAAGAACTCTGATAAAATGATATTCCTCTGTGAACAGCAGTTATTCTCATTCCCATCTCAAGATATTGCCTCAAATTTCGATAGTGTACAACATAGTTTTTTCTTGGTTTAAAATGACAGATAAGTTTTTCAACACCATTAACAATCATTTTTTCTGTGCTAAAGGATAGTCATTATGTGAATCCCATAGGCTGGAAGGATATTCCAAATCAACTTCAAATATATAACCTTTTCTTCCACGATTTGACATACTATGATTTGCTTTCTCCAAAATGTCCATTACTTTTTCTTTTGTTATATTTCTCATCCAATTAAATCCATGTGTTGGAAGTTGTTGTGACATTGCCCAACCCGTAAAGATTATTTGCATCAAGATATTGAATATAACTAGTCTCCTTATCAGGATTATAATTTTTCATGTATTTGTTATTTGCTTCTGCATATCTTTTTGATATGTGAGATATTCCACCACGAATTCCTTTTTCAAACATCATTAACATATCATAATCATGTAGTAATTGTAATTCCTGACCTGTTTCTTTGAGACATGCATCCCAAGCTA